GGGGGCGGGGCCCTATAGCGTTTCGGGGTAACTCTATGGGGTGCAGTTATCCCTACCTAGGGCAGGGCAGACCCTCTGTCGGGCATGGGTATGGTAAGATCCACATGGAGAGAAGACCCAAAGTGGGGCAGGGGCTCTGGGGGACAGACCCTGGCAAGGCAGGCAGGCCCGGGTCAGCACGGGCAGGACCAAATTTAGGGGGACCCCCATGCGCACACCCTGCTGCGCTCCAGGCCGGGGTCCCGCAGGCCCACGCTGCCCTGCTGTCAGCTCTGTGTCACAGCTGTCACACAGCGTTTTGGGACTATTACTACTTTTTTAAGCCACCTTACTCGTCCTGTAACCAAGCACGACAGAGCTGCAGCAGCAGGTAACACCCAGACACGGCTCACACACACACTCTGCAAAACACACAGAAACTTGCTTGCAGGGTGCGGGCTGTTTGCCATCGCCTGCAAGCGAAGTCTGGGAAGTTGGTATTTTAATGAGAAAAGAATCTAAGAAAATCCAGGCGCTGCAGTGAGCGTGCTGGTGATACAACAGGAGTTATTTCTCCCTCTGGGTCACCTCCAGTCCCGCTCCCAGGGCTGCTGGAGGAGCTGCTGTGCTGCTGGTTTTCTCCCATCTCTCAGCTCAGCTGTGCAGCTGCAGGGCTGCTCACTGGGACATCTAAAATCCCACGTCACTTTTTCCAAGAGCAGGAAGTTTCCTGCTGTCCCAGACAGGTCTGAAGCCACCAGTCCCATTGCCTTGCCTGGGTTCCCACGGTGGTCTGCCTCACACCCAGTGCTGCTCCATGCAGTAATTAATTAATGGTTTGAACAAAGGCCAGAGGATACATTGATTGCTTTTGCCAGCAATGCCGAGGTTGGGATGCAAAGGGCAGCGGAAGGGACTGGATTGACTCACAGGTGGGCTGGGACAGGGACAAAACCCCCAAATCAGCCCGAGGACTCCAACCAACATGAGGAAGACTCTGTAGGCAGCGTCCTTTGTTCTCAGTGTCATCACAAGGAGCCCTGTGCAGACCACTTGGACTTCTGCCTCAGTCCTTGTGAGCGTGTCAGTGCAGTGTCATGAAACTGGCTTTATTTGACAACTAAATGGTCCTCCCTTCCCTGGGTCCAACCTCAAATGTCGGCACACTATCATGCTTTATTGGGCACGGAGAGTCAGAGAGGACAATGTCCCACCGTGGCAAGATGTGAAGAGCAGGGCAGGGAAGCAGCTAAATCTCTTTACACCGGCGAGCCCTGGTCACCAAACACCCTCGCCAGATGAACAGCATCGCTCTGTGGGGATGCTAGGAAGGAAAGCTGGCAGAAACGGGGAAAACACCTATTTCACAGATGGTAAAATAGAGGGAAGCAGGAAAATAAGCATGCCACAGATGACCCCATATCTGAGGGCCCAGCTGTCCGCTCTAAGCACCTTCTGGGTCTTGGACCCTGAGCTGTTGTTCCCTGCAGAGAGCGGAACCCCCATGCATCCAGCTCCCTCCCCTGCACGGGGATGCAGGAGAGCAAGGGGAGGAACACGAGCAGCAAGTGGAGAAGGGGATGTGGTTGTGGATCCCCACTCTTGCCAAGCGCTGCTGCTCGCCCACGTGTGAGACCTCACGGGGGTGCTCTGAGACTTGGAGTGCTGCGCTGGCTCTGCCTGTACAGCCCTGCCTGCAGGCATCTGCCTGCCCGCAAACCCCAGTCCTGCTCCCTGGGCAGGATTTCTTAACAGACTCAGGTCAGTCCCAATTTCACCACAGATCAGCTGTAAGATCCCACCCTTGGGCCCAGGACGATGGGAACTGCTTTGTGTCCCTTATTGCTTGTCTCCTGAGCTTTCTCCGATCTGGATTTGCTCCCTACCCTGTTCTTTGCCTTTCTCAGGTCCCCCAGCACCTTCCCATTTAATTGAGACTTTGGGGATGGCCAACTGCAGAGCTGTTCCTTGCCCTTGGCACCACCACGCTGCCATCTGCCTGCAGGCTTTACAAGAAGAGATATTCAGAAATCAAAGGGATGTGTGCTCCCCTTGCTCATGGGGGATGTTTGGGGAGCCAAGGGGATAACACAAGACCAGGGTAAAAGCCTTGCTGCCCAGTGCCCGTCCCACACTACCTGAGCAGGGCAGGCTGAGGAAGACAGTCAGGATCAACCAAGAGCCCAGATCAACCACCAAGTCCACAGCAAGCAGACAGGTTCACAGCCAAGCCACAAAATCAATCTGCAGGTCAGCATCAGGGCTAATCTGTGGGTTGGGGTCCAGAGCAGCAGCAACCAGGCATGAGAATGGCTGTAGCTGAGGCAGAAACCAGCCACAACATAGCTCAAACTTGGACTAAATGACCTGGGCTGAGCTTTAATAGAGTGCCTGGGCCATGGGCAGGGTGTGGGTGGGGGGTCCCAGGTGGGGCTGGTCAGTACCATTAGGGTTTATTAATGCCCTCAGGGCCCTTACAATGTTCCTCTGTTTGTTGTACTGCAGCTTTGCAAAGGGACTTGCCTCATAACAGGGTTCCCCCCCCCCCCCCTTTTTTTTTTTTTACTGCCTGCCCACTCAAAATGAAGATTATCTTGAGCTTTGCTCTTTTCTGTTTATGGTAGGGACAAAGGGTTTCTTTTGCAGACTCAGTTAGTAGGGACCTGGTTCCACCCTAGTAGAATGCTCCTAGGGTTCATGTGGCATCCTGAGGCAGCCCCTGCACCCCAGGGAGGCTGGGGTCACATCCTCTGGGGACTGGTCCCAGGAAGCAGCAGCTCCCAGACCCTGGTTAGGATTGGGGTAGGGGGTCCCTTGCAGCCGCGGCACCCTGTGGGTCCATCTGCATCCCTCCCTGGGGCTGCAATCAGCCCAGGCATCAGCCTGCTGCCGAGTGCAACGTGATGAGAGTGCCTGAGACCTGAGCCGGGCTGATGTGACGCAGAGATGGACAGTGGCGCCAAGACTTTCCTTGTATCGGATGCTTTGACTTTCCGACTCACTCCCATGCAGTGCCACCTTGGATGAAAGAAAAGATGGAGAGGGCAGGTGGAGGACAGGGGCTCGGGTTACTGCTCCTCTCCAGCTGCCCTGCTCTCCATTAGGAATATGTTTCTGGGGTTTTTTT